TTTTTTGTACTCTAGAATATCTTCAAGTATGACTTCATCATCATGATTGAACTTTCTTCCTCAATTTTTGCAACTAATTCATGGGAGGTATCTACAAGCATGCCCAATCTTTGATATTTATTACCTAAATTTTCTCAAATCCATTAGGAGTAATACTAGAAAGTATGACTTCTTTTGGAACTCAATTTTTTTTTTTTTTAAACTTCATGTAATATATTTCTTTTAATTAGATATGAATGAGATGTTAAAATTAAATCAAACTATATCTGAAACTATAAATAAATCTCGTATTAAATAAAAAAAATAAATATAGTAGAAAAAAATTTCGTGTAGTACGGTAGATTTTCCTAATCGACACGCAATTATAAAAAGTAATATTTTCTGCTGACGGGATAATATGAAATAACTTAAACGCACGTATGATTTGAGAATTATAACTATTTTTTTTTAAATCGTCAACTTTTATTATTTCTTATTTTTCTCATCATAAAATAAAAAATTACAAATATAATATTTACACATATTATAAACATATACTTAAATCTGATGTATTAAAGTTTATAATTATTTAAATATAATTAATTATTTTTAAACGAACTTAATAAATTAATAATTTATTACGCATGTGAAACCCCGAATTAAACTTACTAATCGATAAAAATCTAGTATAGAGAACTTGCATATTTATTCTTAAAGATCTAATCTTCTTATCAAATTTACTTGATGTGTTTCCCCTCAAACACTTAATAAATTCACTTGATGGAGAGTAATGGAAAGAGAAAGTGAACGAATAAGAACAAATGAACAGACCAAAACCCATTTAGAGAAATGTGTATTTTTCCAGTTCTTATCTTAATTATTAAAATTAGTGTTTATTTGTAATATATATGTAGAATTTGGCATATATTTAGAGTCTCATTACTTGTGTAATATATATATATATATATTTACATAATTACTTATTGGTAAGTGATATTTAATTTTATTAATAACGCAGTGTTTAATTATTTAATTTCTAGATCGTTCTTGTCCAACATACAATATATCTATATATATAATATAATTTGTTCAACATATAATATATATACACACAAAATTTAAAGTTTCGTTGCTTTATGAATATATATATATATATATAGTAGGCAGATACTGGGAATGAAGTTCTTTAAATTTTAAAATTCTAAGGTGTTTATAAAATATTTAGAAAAATTGTGTTAAACAAAATTAATTAATATCATGATATTTAATTTTAATTTCTCATTAATTAGATGCAAAACGACGTCGGTGCTTGGCACAATTGCAACTTTTGAAATTCTCTCCCACGGCGGAGAAACATCTTGGCTTTGCCGCTGCCGGTGATCAATATTTAATATTTAGCAGGGACGCAAGAATGCATCTTCTTCGCTGGGGCCTTTAGGGTTTCTGTGAAAGTCAATCCCAAATGCACCACTGGTCTTCTGGTGCGTCTGTCGTTTTCTTCCTACTTCTCAGATTTAAACGTATTTTCTAGTTCCTTTTATTTGCGATTATGGCCCGGTATATTTATTATTTTATTTATTTATCGTACTGCATTGGTCTATCGAGTTTGTTACGAGCAATAAGAGACTCTGATTTGATCTTTGTTGCATTATATCTGATAATGTTGTATTTCTTCTGTAATTTCTTTGATGAAAATCTTAGCGTTTATGTTTGAGGTATCTTAGAATTCAAATATAGTTCAGAATTTTTATGGCACTGAAAGGACTTTATGGTTGATGGTTGATGGTTGATGATTAGGCGATTGTTTTAGCCACTGTTGAGTTTCTAAGGAAACTAGTAGTTCGAATTAAAGGAGTTTTTTCCGCATTAAACAAGGTCCTTTAAGTCAGAGGACGATATAAATGATCAGGATCCACATTGATGGTGTGTAATTTCATCCTAAATCAGTAAACTGTGCTTGCCTCCAAAGGAGAACAATTTTACCTTGGTTCTGTAAGTGCGGGTTGAGGGAAACACACACATATACACCCCTTTAAATGGTAACTTAACATTTAAGGCATCCCAAAATCAGAAGCATATAATCCAGAGCTTAAGGAACTGTCTTTGCGGCAATGAATTTGTAAATTATTGCATATTTCACCCAAAGTTAGCACTCATCGTTGCTTCTTGCTTGGCTTAGTATGTGGTCCGTGTGTTTTCTGGTAAATTTTGTTCGGTATTTTCATCGAATACTTGGATCTTTTAGCCAAGCCCAAGTTTAAGAGCTGAACAAAAGATATCAAGCATTGGTACACAACATAGAAAAATATAATTCATTGATTAATTGGGTGGTTAGGAGGAAGTCGTCACTATTTTTGCTTACTGATAAGTTTCTGGCCTAAAAAATCTATATAAATTAAGAAAAGGATGATGGAGGTCCTTGTCAATGTTTGTGTTTCTTCTTCAGGAGATATAAAGGAAGTGTCTTGTATACTTTTTCAATATCTATTTTCTTTCTTTTTGGCCCCGTTGAAATGAGATTTACTTGCACCAATTCCATCTCTGTTTGCTGCTTTAACCATGCTACACTTTTCACATGAGTAGGAAAAAAAGGGATTGTTGATGAAGGAAGTCACTTCTAGAACTTATGGCTAGCAAGTACTTAGATAAGACCCAACTTAGCGAACAGTGTCCTTTTGGCTCTTCAAAGAGCCCTAGGCAAGCTTCATCTTCTGAGAGTACTCCAGTTCTGAATAAAATGGCTGTTCTCAATCACGGGCGTGACAATACTGATGTTTCAAACAGGTGTTTGTACTTAAGAACTATTTTCTCATTCTTCTTAGTTTTCCCTGTTTTCCCTTCAAATGGTAAAATTTCTCTCTTTTTGCCAAAAAGAAGTTCAGCAAATAAGAAAAAGGTATCAAGAGTAATTGGAGGGCTGCGCCAATTCAGTGTCCTAGGTAAGTGATTTCTGTACTCAATTCGATATATTTCGTCTTATACACATTGCATTTCTTGCTGTTTTCATTAGGAGATACTGTGCAAAGACTTTGTAAAACAAGACTTTATTAAAAATATCATGGTTTCATATGCTAAGTGTAAATTTCTGATGGTGATACTGATAAGAGTCACCAATGATTTCCCCAGTATGTAAGACATTGGAGACAAAAGGAACGACTACATATAGTGAGGTATTTCCTCGCCTGATTTATGTTATGATTTATTCTTAAATCTGCTTTGCTCAGGAACCTGGTAGAGATATGGGAAGAAATCGAATTGGTTTCATGTCAGATTAAATCAAGTTGTTTCCCTATGCTTACACATTAGAGGATTCCTTAACTGCTTGTTTTTCAGCTTGGTTGTATTTTGTTATGCCGTCTTTTAATCTGCTTGTTAAGTTCATTAATTACTCTGTGATCCTAAAAATTTCTTGAGTGGGTCTCCAGGTTGCAGATGAAATTGTTGCAGAGTTTGCTGCTATACAGAGTAATGCAGCAGCGTCTTCGGAAGAGGTTCTAAACTAACTGAGGAGTTTTAATTGTTCTGTTATTCAATCATGTGAATTATCATGTTTAATGTCAAATAACAAATATTTCAATTTATCAGTTCAATGAGAAGAACATACGGCGTCGAGTGTATGATGCATTAAATGTTCTTATGGCATTGGACATCATCACAAGAGACAAAAAGGAAATTTGTTGGAAAGGTCTTCCTACTATATGCACAAAGGATTTAGAAGAGATGAAGGTGACTTAACTAATGCGATTAATGTTTCAGTGAGAAAAAAGAGTTGACAAAACTCTCCTCTTTTTCTCTCTCAGACACACACTTTCTCTCTATGTCCCTCCCTCTCTCTCTCTCTCTCTCTCTCTCTCTCTCTCTTGTGTGTGTGTGTGTATATATATTTCTCCTCATGTCACTTACATCCATGGTCACAATCATTCATGAATGATGGTCATGAAGAAACCAATTTGAACAAATCTGAATAGTGAAGCCTTTGATCATTTGATTTTTATCCTTGCAGAAACAACGTGCTAAACTTATTACCAGTATTGTGAAAAAAACTGCTTACTTAAAAGATTTGGAAGAACAGGTATTGTTGGCTGATTATTTCAGACATGCTTTATGCTTAGATAATGTTTTGATTGTATCTAGAACTTGAGATGGTACAAAAAAATGTTTTTCTTTTCATGTCCATTACAATGGACGTATAGCTGAATCAGACTCACGTGGTGTAGAAAAGTAGAAATACTAACTACTCAATCAAGAGGTGGTTTGTAAGAGAAAAAGAACTTGAGATAGTGAACTGATAATCTTCTCTTGTAGAAATTGGACGATTGAGTCTCTTGCTCTTACAGTTCATTTCTTGGATATTGTGAACTAGTTTTGAATTTCTTAGAGTAGGAGTTTCTGTGCCTCTTGGAGATGCATAACTTATATCCAAATGATGTTTCTTACAAATTTTTCTTCTGTTTGATTAGGTGATTTTATTTAACATTCTGTTTTAGATGAAATGGTTACAGTTTATTGGTTGAGTGGTGGGCACTAAATTCTTTGTGGAACTAAAAGATTGCAGGTATTCAAAACCTTATCTTGAGAAATCACCAGCTGCTCAAGAGTAACAAAGCCCCTGCAGAAGGATTTACCTTGCCTTTTATACTGGTTCAAGTATGTGTATTTTTGTTCAGACACTCTTTTTGTCATGTTAATTACTTGCAGATTTATTTTTAGAGGAATTTTGCTCAGTTAGTATGAACTTGGAAATATTTTGGTATCATTTTCCGTTCTTTATGTTAAATGCAAGGTAACATCTTGTACTTCTTATAATTTTCCAGGGAAAAGTCGGACTTGATATGAAAAAATTAATAAGTCTTTAACTTCTTTCCCACTCAATTCCTTTTGAAATTATTCGTCTTAGTTAGTTAGATGCAAAAGAGTACTGTTCTTTTTTTTTTTTTTCAAATCCTATATAAAAATTGCAAAGAACACATTCTTTAGTATCATTTTTATAATTTTATGATGGGAGTGGAGGAGAATAGACTGGTTTACTCCCGCAAAGAAGCTAGGAAGGAACCCCATTGATTTGTATATAAATTAATAATAAAGCATTAGTTCTCCATTTTATTGTAGGATTTTGGATTTGTAATTCAGTTATATCTGCTTCATGGTTTGTGCTGATATTAGTTCTTTAACTTAATTATGACTTGTGGGTATGCATTATCGCCAATTTCTGCAGACAAGCCCTCACGCCTCAGTTGAGATTGAGATTTCAGAGGACATGCAATTAGTTCACTTTGACTTTAACAGGTATGAGTACTAAATGGTAACAACCTAGCATTTCGTTTGTAAATATAGCGACGCCATTTGGTTCTCATGCTTCACTTGATCATCATTCAATTGACAGTACACCGTTCGCATTGCATGATGATTCTTATATTTTGAAGTTAATGCAAAATTATCAACATCCCCAAAGGTCTTCATCTCGTTCATCTTCCAGTTCTTGCATCGCATCAGGAGGCACAAACTATGAAAAAGATATTCGTTGATGAGAACATAATAGTAGACAATGGTCTTAAAGTGGGGAAAAAGAAAAAGGGTATAGGGGTATGGGGAATGCTAAATTTTGATTTCCTTGCACAGGTTACTGGTGATTTTGACTATATGATATATACCTTGTCAAATTATCTGCTTTCAAATTTTTTGTCGACAGGCTGTAATGACAAAATCAGCAGCATCTTATGTCTTTATCACCATTAAAATGTCGGATGATTCATGAAAATTATTAGAAGGAAACTTTTCATGATTT